GAAGAAGAAGAAGAAGAAGAAGAAGAAGAAGAAGAAGAAGAAGAAGAAGAAGAAGAAGAAGAAGAAGAAGAAAGCTGACTATAGATCCAAGGACTTGCACAGAGTGGCATAAAAACAGCTATTAGATTATTGTTAAGGGACAATTAAACTTAAATGTTGCTTGTGAATATGGAGTATTCATTATGAAAACTAAGTTATACTGTAGCTTGTATAATTAAGAATGTGTATGCAGGCTGCAAGGAGCCCTCATTGCATAACACAATTGACATACAAGGCTAGAAAGCCGAGTTTGATTCTTGGAACCTGTGAAAAAGTAGAAGGAAAGAACTAACCTGGTAAAGTTATTTTCTGACATCCATGTGTGCCACAGGATATGCCTGTCCCTTTTAAGCATACACACACAAACACAGCAATAATAAATAAAATAAAGTTCTAAAATATAACATATGATAGTTTTGAAGTTTGATATGTATAGTTTACAAAATATGACCAAATATATGTGGTAGTTACTAGCTTAATGCCATATAATTCATAATTATATTCTAGAATAAATCACATGCTAGTGTGCAATAGTTATGAAGCTTGTTGATTTCTGTTCTAGCATTCACATTGTTGAAATTACTCTGGGTGTTTTCCTCTCTGTTTCAGGTCCTTGTGCCCATCAGAGAGTCCCAAGCACAGTGCCTAAAGTGAGGACTTGATGGTTGGATATGTTAATGCTGCCTATTCTGACCTGTAGAGAAATGCTAATGTGAAATGTCTTGATTATCTTTTTGTTACTGATTTTAATAAGAGGATTAGCCTACTAAAATTCATGGTAAATTAAAATGTACTTATTTTAAAATTTCTCTTACATGTTTATTTAGCGTGTACATGTGTGTTTGTGTACACATATGAGTGCATGCATGGAGATCAGAGGTCAGAGGAGGTCAAAGTCTATTCTTTCCTTCTATCACATGGGTCTCAGAAATGAAATCAAGTTATGAGGTTTTGCCAAAAGTCCTTAACTAATTAGCTTCAAAGGCATTTAGCTTTGATAGGTATAAAAAAAGTATACACAAGACATCAAATAAATAATACTATCTAACCATCATGTAACTTTAGATTTCATTATATAAATATGCTGTCTCATTACAATATCATTTATTTCTGTGTTGGTAGTGATTACGATTATTAGCCCATTTTTTTTTGTCTGAAATGTTATATCAGATAGCTTAAACTAGTTCTAAATCAAGCATGTCTTGACCAGAAGTCTCACCTCTTCTGGCTAGCTTTCACATAGCTAAAAGATCCTATGCATGCTATGGAGGGAGAAAATTAATCATCAGTCTGACTTAGCTGTGAGCCCGGGGAACTACATAATGATTGGTGTGATATGATATACTAACATGTGCAACTATGTATAAATTTCATGAAAAGAACCAGTCACTGTTTGTTAGATTTAAGGCCTTATCAAAAGGATGAAACCCTCATCTGCTACCATTATCAGACAAGAACTTGTGTCTAGACATATCATAAGCCCTAGTGGAGAACCCACTACTTCCTGGACATTCTCCTAACTGGACACAGCATTAAACTAGCCCTAATGATTACTCATTATCTTCAACCTTCATCAGAGAAGCCTCTTTTCCCAAGAGGTAGTTATTAACAGAGACCCAGATCTGGTCAGTATTCAAAAAGTAAGAGACTGCAAAGTACCCAGCCATAAATGGGACACATGAATCACAACTCCTACTGCCAAGGCTGAAAGATCATCAGGGAAGGGGCACAGAGAGGCTGTAAGAGCCAGAGGAAGTAGATGACCCCAGCAAACAGTGCATTTTGGGCACAACATGGCAATTACACATGAACTAACTGTGGCTGTGACTGTTAAGACCTATATAAGGCAAAGCCAGTCAAAAATTTCAGGATGGCAGTGGTCATCAAGTCCCACCTGCAGCTGAGGAACTGTTGGTAGCTGTTGTCTGCTAGGATCTGAAGTCATTTTCTACAGTGATGCAACCTCCGAGAGGGTAGCCATGCTCTCGTAGGTGATTCTGCACCTATGAACATATTGGCAGCACAAGCATATTAGGTGAGTTAAAAAAAAAAAAAAGGTGTGTGTAGGGGCACATGAACTTGATAGAGAAAAGTGTTGGCAGGGAGAATGGAGAATGGATTGGAGTGAAGTGAATGGGGAATGGAGTTGATCAAAAACCCATTATATGCAAAAATCTCAACCATCAAAGTAACAAGGGAGTTCTAACTAGAAAACTTTAATAAATGTGAAATTTTAGTTATCCAAAATACAGCCACCCCCAAGATTCCTGTGCTGTGGGTTAGAGGAGGGTGAGGACGAAGATGTCTGCTGGACATTGTCCTGCTTTATTAAAGGCATGAAGGGTTTCAGATCAAGGAAGGACTTAGTTCCATACTTGATCACTTAGAAGCAATGCCTGGGGGTTGCCTGTCCTCCCCAGCGAGTGGGGAGGAGGCATCAGTCACACTAGACCTCATCTCCATATCCAAATTACTGAATCAGGTGGTTGTGCCTACGAAATCCAGTGTGCCCCTACAAGGTATTCTACTAAACTAATGCATGTGCCACCAATAGGGCATACATCGAATTGCTTACTTCCTATTTCTAAGTTTCAGGGTGCTGTCAGAGTTAGAGTAGAGAGTCTGGAGAGCTGGGAGGCCTGAGGTGAGATCCATGGAGGCTGAAGTCAGAGGGCTGTTGTTTAGAGACTGCCTACTGATTTAGGTT